CTTTCATTCAGTTATGCGTGGTGACCCGACTGCAGGTCTCAGTGATCCCATGATCGGCGGACGAGCCATGCTCCGGGAGAGCCAAGTGCAGCACGGTGTCCGACCTGACGCCGGAATCGCAACCCTTCGGCGCGCCGCGAGTTTACGCACTGTCGGAGGAAGGGCCGCGCGGTTCTGGGACTGAGGACGGGCCAGCGTCCTGTCGGACTCAGGAGGACGGGCCGCGCGGCACTCGGACTGAGGACGGGCCAGCGTACTGTCGGACTCAGAAGGACGGGCCAGCGTGCTGTCGGACTCAGAAGGACAGGCCGCGCGGCACTGGGAATGAGGACGGGCCAGCGCACTGTCGGACTCAGGAGGACGGGTCAACGTCTTGTCGGACGCAGGAGGACGGACTGCGCGACGCTCGGACTGAGGACGGGCCTGCGTACTGTCAGACTCACGAGGGGGACGGGACAGCGAGCTGTTTGACTCGAGAGAACAGCGGGCTGCACCTTCGGGGCTCCGAACTCGGGCGTCGCCCCGTGATGAGATATTTTTCACGGGGCTCTTAAATATTCCGAGGGCGGAGGGGGAGGGTGGACGCAGCAGGCGGGCGCGCCCCTTCCCACGGGCGCCGCATCAATAACCTCGCCGACTTGACACTCGCGGAATGATGTGTGAGGCGCGTTTTGTAGGGCGCGCGGCCGAGGGCAAAGGCCCCGGACGCGTGTTTTTGCTGCGGCAAGGGCGGGTTGCCGCGCGCACGACCGCGTGCCAGCGAGGCCACAAACAGCCCGGCTCGGGTGCGGGCTCACGCGCTGTCTGTCGCGGCTCGGCCGGGCGGGGTCCGTGGGACTCGCGGATCCGCAGACCCACGGCCGGTCACGGCGGGGTCACCCTCGTCCGCTGCCGGGACCCGCGGACGCGTGACACCATCCTCTGACGGGACGCCCGTCCGGTGGTGAACGGAGCGGCTCGTTGCCTCGGAGCGCGCGACCGCCCGCGGGCTGGCCGCGGGAGGTGGGCTGGTGCGCGATGCTCGCGGGGTAAGTGACGGTGGCTTGAGCGGTGGTCCTCTGGCGTGTCCGCTGATGGGAAGCGGTCTGGGATTGCGGGCACCAGTGTGCAAGACTACTGCACCTGGTACATGTTCTGTGGACGATCCAGCCAGCTGGTGGTCTCCATGGAGCGGCTAGACAGGCATCGCACACAACTGAATACATAAGGTAAAAGTACTTTGAATGTAATGTCTCTCCCGCTTCCCATTGAGACCTACTGACTTTAAGGTTTGGTGCGCTGTAGTGCACAATGTGAAGATGGTGCCCTTCTGGCGGTCTTACCTAATGTTCCCCGATGTCCGGGAGCCCGCAGCCGCTACGTGAATGCGGGACCGTGTGCCTCCGACTCGCACTAACCTCAGTCTCATGCACACTCCACATGTGACCAGCTGAAGTGGGTAACGCGCATACTAACAGCTAACAGACCTGCTAACATGCCTGATTCTATGCCAAACAACAAGACGGATCCATATCCCTGATCGGATTCAAACCATTGCAGCTTTTGCGCCACATGCGCCTACCAGTGAAAGAGGAGGCACTTGCGGATTAAGCAGCCGACCTGAGGTGACAGTGACCTCTTCCAGACTGCGTAGGCGCTCTGCGTGCTGTTTTGTTTCCGTCCGTTCGGTGCAGCGCCGGGGGCGGGCCGTCAGCTCGCGGCCGAAGGACGCCCCCGGTCAGGTCCCGCTCCCCAAACACCGACATTTGTAGCGCACTGAAATTGGACGCGGCGTTCCCGGCGCGTGCATTAATGACGCGTGCCGGGGCCGGCGCGCGCGCGCCGCGTCCGTGGCCGGGCATGTAAACACACGGCGCGCAGACGAGACCGATATCAAAATGGTAATTCGGCCACATATATTAGCGGTTGCCAACGGCTCGGGCCCTTATTGACAGGGGCCCCAGGGGTCGTGTCCTCTCGTGCCCCATTTTAGGGGCACGAACCGTGAGTCCAAAGTCCAAATCGCCCGCTCAGATTATTGCGCATACATTACCATAAATTATGGCCAGCGCGCCTAATTAGCATTGGGTTCGGTTGACCACGTCCCCGCGCTTTCTGCGTCTCCTAATGTGTGTAATGTCCGGGTGGACACGGGTGTAATTTGGACATTTAAGGTGGGAGGAGGGCTAATTTTAAGGTGGAGTGGTCAATTTGGTCGTTGCCCGAAGGCGGCGGCTGACAGTTTGACGGTACCAAAACACGGATGACAGTGGTTATGGTTCGGGCGTAAGGTGTGAGCGGCCTGACGCGCTGTCCGAGCGTTGCCACTGCCGGAGAACAAAGAACTCGGAGACTTGACTCCTCTCGGCCCCCCGAGAGCAGCCATGTGGAGCCCAATGGCAGGCCAAGGCGACGGTACAAAATCAACAGAGCTAGATAACTATGTGCCGCCCGTCATTGTGGTTTTATCAAAAGGCGGTTCTGCTCTTGCAAAAGTCAGCATGGCTGCGACGAGGAGTGAGATGTATTCATATTCAAAGCTGACGCAGTGCAAGCCTGTACTCATGGGTGGCGTGCAGCTGCCCGTAATGATGTGTCTCGCTGTGTGTGTGGTTTTGAAATGCATCCTGCCCAATAAACTCCCCGACAGAAGTCCGGCCTTGACTGGAAGCCAGGCATGTCCGTTCATTCACACCAGGATGTGAGCTCCGTGCGGGCGGACTGCGCAACAGAGGCCGACCAGAGCGCTGCGGCAGCGGCGCTGCTCGCCAGCGCCGACGGCAGCTGCGTCTGCGAGCTGGGCGCTATGCTGGGCCGGCGCCGCAGCTGCGTCTGGGAGCTGGGTGATGTGCTGGGCCGGCGCCGCAGCTGCGTCTGCGAGCTGCACGCTGTGCTGGACCGGCGCCGCAGCCGCGTGTGCGAGCTGGATGCTGTGCTGGGCCGGCGCCGCAGCTGCGTCAGCGAGCTGGACGCTGTGCTGGGCCGGCGCCGCAGCTGCGTCTGCGAGCTGGGCGCTGTGCTGGCCGGCGCCGCGGCCGGTCCCGGGAGCCCTGAGCGTGCTGTGCCGTCGGCACGCGAGCCGGACATTTGGACAAGCGTGAGCACGCGCTCCGCTACAAAAAATCGATCGATGCGTCGGCCGGCAGCTGCGCGCCGTCTCCGACCGGGTGCAAGCGACGTCACGTGACCGTCACGTGACCGTCACGTAGCCGTCATTAGCAGACTGGCCGGCTGGACGGAGGCCGGCGGCCGGCGGTCATGCCCTGCGTGAGGGTGAAGACGCAGGCCGCGTCGTACCCTGCCGGGGGTCGGGCGTGCAAGCCTTGGGTTGTCCAGTTTGTTGGCATGGTGTGAAGAATGTTAAAAGCAGGCATAAATTTAAACTCACTGTTCAGCTGTGGATGGCGGGCAATGTCCTTGTCGTCTTTGTCCTTGCATTGCTGGTACGTGGGTGAGGACGTTTTGCATCAAGAGCCATTGATAGGGTCTGCGTCGGTCACCCGAAACCCCCTCCGGTTTCTCACGTCCGGTGCAGCCCCACCACACGTACCACTCAGCTTTGAGAAAGGAACGGGAGGGTCTACGAGTGGTGCCTCCACCCCTGTCGTCCACGCATAATCAGCAGATTAATCAGCGCCGCTCCCAACCGCGATACACATACACCGCCGCTGCCGCACTCTATCATTTTCAACTCGCCGTCAAGTCAGATGTCAGACCATTCACGGCTCGATTCAGCACCTGGGCTACGCGGTCCAGGCGCGAGGAGGGGGAAGGGGGAGGGGGAAGACCCACCAGAGCCTCCCTTGTGCGCTGCGCGGATGCTCACCGCCCTCCCCCCCCCCCCCCCCTGCCGAGACTCCGCCGGTGATCATGGCCCACCGGCCGCTCTGCGGGTCACAGTCTCCCTTTCACTCGAAAAGATCGCATGAATCGGCCGACTAAATCAGTTGGTGCCGCCGCCTTTGTGGTCGCGCCATTATTCAAATGATTAGGTATCTCGGGCGCACAGGTGGTCACCTGCGAGGGTTGCCTGCGACAGCGACATACCACCGCCGTCGGGGCGCGGTATGCCGTCTTATCGGCGGATACTGAACACCATTCCACGAATAGCGCGGCGCGCCGTCCCAGCGGGCTAGCGGCGCGCGCTTTTTTACGCTCCCGCGCGACGTTTAAAGTCCTGTGGCGGCGCGCGAAGGGTCAGCCGCCGGCGCGACGTGGGCAGCGCCATTTAAATTCAAAGTAATACGCGATTGACCGGGACGTTGCGCGTAAGGCTGCCATGGCAGTTATGGCGTGCCATGGCGTGGGATCGTGCTGCGAAGTAGCACCGACCAACTGCGAGTTCGAAGAAAGCGTGGCTGCTTTTTAACTCGGCGGGAGCTGACCAGAACTAGCGGAAAAGGGGGTAGTGGGAGCGGGAAAGACCTGACGTGACAAATCTTGTTTGTAGTCCCTCCCCCGCCCCCTCCCCCCCCCGCCTAACCTTCTCAAAGATCCCACCCATGCTTGGTGTCGATATGGGCCTGTACGTGCGACAGCAAGGATACGACATCGACCCAGACAGGTGGCTAACCGGTTCGTAACTGATAATTTGTTCCACGGATAAGAATTCGCGAGCTGTCTTGGTTATGCACATCTTTCAAAATAGTGTTCGATCTCGGTGTCGAAGGAAAAGGCTTAGCAACGCATTCCACGTCTAAGTTTGTGTGTTGTTTTCTCTTTATGCTTCGGCTGAGACAGGAACGATATTAAATTTCCGGCTGAAATCCAAACCCTCATGAAAATTATTTAGCCTTCGAAGCCTACCACACTGCCCGCGGAGACAGCCGATAAGGCGCACGATCGGGAGCTAGGCCCCACCCCCACGGGTCTCCTCTGTTAACGGTCGTGAGGAAGAAGGTCCCCCAGCTGAGAGCCCCGCCATCTCCTTGCCTCCATTTGCTGTTTCCGACATTCGTGCGGTGCAATCATGCGAGGATCAGCAACTCAGCCTCGCGGTTTTGCGGCGAACACGCCTCAGCTGGGATATAGTCATATATATTACTAGGACATACATGATACCAAGACCGTGCACAATCAATGGAATACACGAATACGATATGTACATAATTTAGCAGAAATCGGATAAGTGAACTATATCATAAATAGGTTGCACACTGCCTAATGAGATCACCGGACTAGAATGCTCCGAGGGCCCTCTCGAAACTGGCTCGGTGTCTCAATTCCCACCACGATGGCGGGACCCCTGTCGCACTGTGCAGCTACTCTTTGGATGCACCAGGAGTCATAACCCAGGAAGTCGCACAACAAAACAAACCACGCCATCCACCCTCCGACTACAAAAAGTAACAAAGCCTCGGCTATAGCTATTTACCTTGTCGACCGGGCAGCCGCAGACAGACATAGTCCGGCGGGGAACAAAGAAGGCTACACACGGACAGCACCACTAAACATGGGTTACGGCCGCCTTCAGAGCACTGAAGCGACCGACGTCAAAGTCCGAAGAATTAGACATCCCGCAGGGGATAACCAAAAGGCATTTAAAGCTATTTACCGTGCTTTCTTCTGTAAACAGAATACACCCTAGATTCGGCTATTTTTTCGAAACGGTATGGTACAAAACACACCGCCGTGCCAGAGGCGGCAGCTAATGCGGTACACGGGAGCTGACGCCGGCAGGGCGCCTTGGTCAGCGGTGCCGGCAGGGCGCCTTGGTCAGCGGTGCCGGCAGGGCGCCTTGGTCAGCGGTGCCGGCAGGGCGCCTTGGTCAGCGGTGCCGGCAGGGCGCCTCGGTCAGCGGTGCCGGCAGGGCGCCTCGGTCAGCAGTGCCGGCAGGGCGCCTTGGTCAGCGGTGCCGGCAGGGCGCCTTGGTCAGCGGTGCCGGCAGGGCGCCTTGGTCAGCGGTGCCGGTGAGGCGTCTCGGTCATTGGTGCCGGCAGGGCGCCTTGGTCAGCGGTGCCGGCGGGGCGCGGCGCAACGGCTCCGAGGGTGACGCTCCACTGGCGTGCGCCAGCGACGAACGGCAGCACCGCGACATCAGGTCACCCCGGGCCGCGTCACCACCGTCCATCCGCCAAACAGCAGGGCACCAGGCCGACTGGTAACGCCGCCCGGCGCCGGCGGCCGACGGCGGGTGAGAGAGCCCGCGACGGCTGGTAACTGGTGGTGAGACCCAAGTGATGACCGTTGATGGGACTCGGCGACGGCTGGTGACCGCCGGCGAGCGTCGCTGGCCGATGAGCACTGTTGCCAAGTGGAGGCTTCCCGTCTGGCGCCTCCTGTCTTCCCGGTGGCACCAGGCCGTTCCAGCCGGCGGGTCAGGTCAGGTCAGGCCGCTGACCTCGCCCGTCGCGCACGCCGCCCGGCACGCACACGCGCGTCCCCTCCTGGCAGTGTGGACACTCACGCACTCTCGGCAGACGCACAGGCGCACTCTCCGTCCGGGCGGCCGGTCTGTCTATACATGTATCACAGCGGCGCGGACGGCTGCTCGTCCTCGGAGCTTGCCGACCGTTTCGCCGGCGGCGCGGCGTCCGGGGCGGCTGCGCTCTTGGCCGTCTCGGCCGTCCGCTTCCTCGTCCTCACCAGGTCTGCGGCGGGAGAACGGGGTCAGTCTCAGCCTGAACGAGGCCAGGGCAGGGGGGGGGGGGGGGGGGACGGCAGGAGGGTGGAGCCGCAGTGTCCTTCCACACAGCATACAGGCGAGGCATGGCGGCACGGAGCCAGACAGCACGCGCCCGAAAAACGGGTGTTTGCGTGCATTCTTCCGCGTACAGCAGTTATTACGGACTTTAATGAAAACGGTTGTTGTCGATGCCATTCTGATTATTTATAGGGGCTCATTACATTTCAGAGTGTTGTTAGTGAGATGGATAGAGCTGCGCGAGCGGGTGAAAATAACAGAGCGATACAAAAGAGCGCGGCATTACCGCTCGCCGTTAACGCTGGCCAAGTACGCACTATTTCAATTTTCCGGCCATGGTGCCGCCCACTGCCCTGTGACTGAAACGGCGATCGGACCAGCCCGCGCACACTCTGAAGTAGGAGGCAGGAACACGTCCTGTAGGCACAGCATGAACTGGACCGCGATAGGGGATCACCCACGCCAAGAAAATAAGACCGCTCCAGAACCAGACGACAGTCACGTAGAAGCATAAATTCATGCACTTCCGCAAGAACAGACTGGTGGAGTAGTGGCATATGTGCTATGTGCCAGTTTAATGTCTGTTTTTAAGTAACATATTCTTTCACGAAATGTTCATTAAAACGGAATTGGGCGCATTACAGCACTGAAAGAGGGAAACAAGTTTTAGTGGTCTAGGTTTTTTCCCACTGCCATAGGGGGAGACAATTTGTGGGCATTTTGTGGACACACCACTCTCCCATTTTTAAGGATCTTCTTAGGTCATTTTTTATATGCTCTTCGTCTTTACAGCGCTGCCTCCTCAGCGTAAAAATTGACCGCTCACTTGAGGCGTAAACTCACCATATGTCATGTGGCCGTCAAGCTTAGTTTCGACATTGGCCTTGATTTGTAGGGAGTCAGATAAGTAATTCCATTCATAAGCACAACTTACAATATATTTGTTATGGGCAAAAATGGCATGTTGCACAAATGGTGATTTAAAAAAGAGGACGTCATTAGAATCTCTGTGTATCATCTTATTCTTGTCAGGACGGCGCGGGTTGCCTCAAAATGCGCCATTACAGCACTGGGCATTGTCAACCATCTACGTTCGTGTCCCAGTATGTGTTTTGCCAGGGAGATTGCGAGGAGCTGGTGAATGTGGGCAGATTCGAATGCGGATTTGAAGGTACGGAAATTGGCCAGATTTCATCATATTCTGTTGGGACAGCACCTGAGCAAAAGTTCATTGCGGGATTGGGTTTTGCCACTGTTGAGGATAAATCCAGCACATGAAAGCAAAGCGTTTGGAGTCCAGTGATATTCTCGCTTTTGGAGTGTACTTGCTTGGCAGGCGGTGCCACAAATGAAGCCAAAGAGCGCTGCTTTTGGGGCAGGATTCAGGCTGGTTCATATATGCCATTGACACATTTGCATGCTTTGCCAGTTAGGAAATGCGAATGCCACAAACCTAGAGCTGTTTCAAATCACAGCGCCTTCCAATGAATGTTTGATACATTAAGTGTGCATATCTAAAAATCTCCTTACATGTCAAAAACCATGGCGTAGCCTACCCTGATCTTACACTGTTTATATTGGTATCATACGCTGTTAAATGTGTGGAACCTGGTTTTGTTCAAATTGCATAGTAAATTGAATACAATGGAGTTAGGTTTTCAAGTTAACGGGAATTTCCTGTGAAACCCTGTCCGATTGCTTCCGTTAAAATTTTTCACAAACCTCCTCACCTTTGGTTTTGGACAGTATTTGCCCAATCCGAGAGCTGCTGCCGACCTTTTTTGGCCTAGCTTTGTGGGCCAGTTGATTACTTCAAAACAATTTTCGCTAGTTGGATTGAAGTTGTCCCGTGAAATGAAAGGCAAGCCAAATCGCGCATGGTTTCATGGTGTCTTGATCCATGCAAGAAAGACATTGAAAGATTTGTTTGTTCAATATGGATGCCTAGAATAAATAATATCAACATACCTTGGAAGTATTGTGTACATAAGGCAGGTAGGGGAGTTCTGCCGCACTGACTTTTCCTTTGGCATAAATCATAGGAAATTCTTGAAACCATTCCTTTTTTGGTTTCACCATTTCTTTCTTGGCCGACAGGAAGATAAGTAGGCGACACCGCGGTTCGCACAGCGAGCATTGCGCTTAAAAGGAAAAAAATATAAGTATTATCTCAACAGCGTTTTTAGTACTGTTGAAACCTTTGATCGCCTGTCGTTGGGCCGGGGAATGACTCACATGGCGCGACTGGTAACGACTATAGATACTCTAAACGACATTAGTAGTGCATATGTCCATGTACGTCCAATCCATGCGCCCTAAAACGGTGGATCACCAATGTCGAATCATTGCGTAATAAATGAAATTCAGCAAGAGTAAAACAAATGGTTTGCGCAGCGGCTTTTCTGTTCCATGGCAAGTCACAAGACATCCGGATTTTTAGGACACTGTGGCGCAAATCATATCTAGCTACGACTTACACAAAAACGCCCCTGAACAAAACAGGAGAAGAGCTTCCGACTTTTCAAGGCAAACGTGACAACAACAAAGCGGATGGCAGCTGCTGCGGCAGAGCTGGACCAGAAAGTGCGCAATCAGAGGTAATGTCCGCAAACAAACATCCTAATCACCGTTTTAATGTCCTGGGCTTTGAACTGCCTCCCCCACCCAGCACTATGCCGCGGCCAGCAACGTAACGCGCACGAGCACGCTCTGCACGCTTCACGTGTCGCCGCCGGCTAACACCTTCCGCCAGGCCGTGCCGGCTGGGTCGGGGCGGGCCGGCCCGGCGCCGGTCAACGCTCCCGGGCCGGCCGCGAGTTTTTGCGGGCGGGTTTAAAGTGCAGGCCGGGCGGAAAGTGGGGCTGGGCGCTCACCTGTGATCTGACGCTGGTGGAGAGACGCAGGCTGGGCGGCGGGCTCTGCCGGCGTCGCCGCCGGCTCGGTCGCGCCGAAGCCGGCCTCCGTGCGCGACTGCTCGGGCGGCGCACCGCCCACGCGCTCCCACTGGTACCTGCCGCCTGGCACCGGCCGCTCTAGTTCGAAATCGAAGTTCCACTTTTTCTTCTGACGCTCGTAGATATCCTTCATCTCGCCCTGTACGAAGCGGCGCGTGGCCTCCGTGTCTGCCGGCCCGAACAGGCAGCGACATGGAGAGCCGGCGGCGCTGCGCACCTGCGCGTGGCCCAGATAAAACCGGCGCAGATCTGGCGCACCTTGGTCTTCCATTATCAACATGGTGGTCCGGCGCGGCGCGGGACGGGAGAGGACCGACCAGCACCCACCACGGCCGGCTGACGGCTACCGACTGGCTTGCTCGGCCGCCGCTGACGGTTTGGGGCCGACCGCCGCCGCCGCCGCTCGCCGACCAATCAGCATTCGCCACCCAGTCACGTGGGCGGCGCGCCCGGGCACGCGATTGGTCGCCGTCGACCCGCCCCAACTGGCCGATTTATGTGTAATACAAATAAAAAAATGTTTTGCTCCGGACTGGTACGGACGGCGCCAAGCCAAAGGAGGGTGGGGCTCAGGCTCGCCGGCCGAGCGGTACCACTGCTTCTCGCCTGCCCTATAACACCCACGATGCAGAGGGGACGTTTCGTTGGACTGGTAACGGTGACTGACCCCCTCGCGCGTCACCATGCCTCTCAGCCCCTCGGCGTTGCTGCTGTACCAGGGTGCTGCGGCCCCGGCGCCACCACGCCTCTCAGCCACTCGGCTTTGCTGCTGTGCTTGGGTACTGCGCCCCCGGCGCCACCACGCCTTTCAGCCCCTCAGCGCTGATATTGTACCTGGGTACCGGGGCCCCGGGCAAGACTTACTGGGAAGGAGAGCAGGAGAACAGGACACCTGCTACGGAGTCACTAGAACAAAATCACTAGTGGTCTCAACGTCCGTTTTAGTTGTGTTTCAGTGATCGAGTCTTGCGACGCATGGCATCCCCGAGGATGAACTTTAACTAGGTATTGCAAATGGCCTACTGAAATTATCAGCTGCTCATGCCAACTGGCAGGAAAGTGACACACATCTGTCAGTGACAACAGCTTTGTTAGCCCAGTTTTTTTTAACACGGACCAATGTAGCGAAAAAAACCTTCGAAGCTCGATGCAGCTTGACCTAGGAGAGTGTTGGAATAATCGAAGAAAGAACAAACGGCATGTTCATGGAACTTTAAGTGACACGTGGGTGTGAATAGTTTATAGTAACTGAACCTGCTAAAAGCTGGTTCAGTCACTCACATGGATAGCTTGCGATGACTAGAGATGTAGCCAATTTTAAAGTTTAAAGAGATTGGGGTTGATAGAAATAGAATGTACTTATAAAAACTTTGCTGACGCCGTGGGTGCAAATACCTACGTCCAGACCAATTCATGGAATTCTTTGAAGAAGCGGTACATGCAAGCTAACAAACAATTAGCATGCGTCCGGGAGGTTTGCTGAATACGACGCTCTTGTATGCGGGGGAGGAGGTCAACTTGGCCCAAGATATATCAGGATGTAAGGAAGCCAGGTGCACTGCATTCACAGAGTTGGTATATTATATTGGAACTCACTTGGAATTTAAATCAAATTCTTAGGACTATGGACCATAACCTTCGGGTCAACCAGAGTCAATCCATGTCAAATCCGAGATCAGTGTCCAGGGTGCCATGAGACATTCTTACACAAACAAGCGACAACCTAGATACCTTTGCAAAACAAAAGCTTATGCTTGGTCACAGGCTAGTCATCTATCTGATCTTTAGAAGTTCAAACCATTAAATTTTTCGAGATTGCTATAATATTGCTATTCAAAAACAGCGTCCAGAATTCCACCATACTTACGGTAGATCTCTCAAGTCAAAGGGTTGATTGAGGTCATTTTGGGTCAGTGAACTCTTCCAACCTTCATGAAGTCACCTAAGAAATATGTTTACGTTCTTGCGATCAGCAATAGAAAATGAACGCCATAAACTGCCCAGTAAGGCCAGTGTTTCATTAAAAAATGTTTCGTTCTGAGCTTGATACCCGACCTAATGTTAAGAAAATTGGTCGCATTTATAATTTCAGCTGCCGCATTGATTAACGAACAGTTTTGAGGCTAAGGTTGCATGATTTACTCCAGCATTCCATTGTTGCATCACCTTAGAATATTTACTGAGAATTGTTTTCGCTAACAAGCATAGCCTAGCTGTCAGCTGCTACAGTTCAGTTATCTTAAGAGAATTTCAGCATCAAAAGATCGGCTGTTCCATTGCCTACAGCTCTACAGTTATACAAAGTTTTGTATTTCTCTGCCGCACCATTAGGAAGTCGTTCTAGAAATCTTGAGAAGGGAAAAGGTCGAATCCCCCAGCAAGGGTTGTGCGAATTTTCTTGCTTTATACACTTTCCCATGACAGTTATGGGAAGAAAAACAACAATTCACGATGTTCTCATTTCTCTAACGCATCCGTTTAGACAGGCCAGTCCGCTGTGGCGATACGCCGAAATCCACCTCCTGTAGCGTCGCCAGTAGCCCCCCCCCCCCCCCCCTGTACGTCTGCGTTATGGAACACGGTGGATCAGGGCAAGGGTTAAATCTTGCTTTGCTCCTGGTTGTATATGTAATGTCCTGATGGCAATACCTACACACACATCGATTCACACACACCACACACACACACACACACACCACACACACACCACACACACACACCACACACACACCACACACACACAACACACACACACACACCACAACACCACACACACACACACACCACACACACCACACACACACACCACACCCACACACACACACCACCACACACCACACAACACACACACACACACACACCACACACACCCACACACACACACACACCACCACACACACACACACCCACACACACACACACACACCCCACACACACACACCACACACACACCACACCCACACAACACACCACATACACCACACACACACACACACACACACACACACACATATATATATATATATATATATATATATATATATATATATATATATAACTTAGATAGCGTTGATCAAGCCCATATCTTCTCTGCTGTTATAAAAATATAAATAATAGACCTTGTCAATCGGTCAGCTAGTGGATGGCCATTTTTGTGACGCTGTTGATGCAGACATAATGACAGACCTATCAAGCATCACGCTCACGTGGCTCCTTCCTATGAGCTGCAAAAGCCTGAACACTTGCCAACGGGGCGCTCTGCCGGGGCATACTAAAGTGAGCGCCCATCAATGCCGTCAGCAGAGCCGACTTTGTCAACGCGGCCATTAAGCCGTCGATGAGCGATGCCGATGGCATTCGTCACACAGCTGCCAGCTATGCAGGGAGGGATAAGGGGCACCAGATCATCATTTCCATGGAGGTTGGGGGCGCTTATGATCGCAAGAGACCGGCGACAGAGGTGGGGAGCGAGCGCCAGCGCCGCCGGCGACGCTGCGTGGCAGCACCGAGCGCCGAGTGTGACACAGGGCACGCTCGGGGAACCATCGGGTGTCGCAAAAAACGGGCGACTAATAGGAGATCCGCGGGTCAGACAGATAGCGCCGGCGTTGCCAGAGCTAAATCACGAGCTGCGAGCGGATAATGCGACTTTAATCACAGCGTGCCCGCCGTCTGGTTTACCTGGCTGAATTCCGGAAGATTCCAGACGCGGAGGTAATTGCCTGAGCCGCGCCAGACGCGCGGAATGCCTTGCTCACGTGAGACGAAGGATGGGGGCGCCGATGCGGCCGACGCCACCCGCCAATGTTTCCGGTTCCGATGCATTGCAGAGTTTGCGTCACACGCTCGGCATGTGGTGGCACCACCACGGCAAAAATAATCATCACACCACGTCCGGAGAAAACTGGCACGAGGCCAGCGCCAGTACGAGCCAATCCGCGGGCCCGCCGCCAGGCCGACGCAAGAAGCCGCTGACCGGTGACTTTATGCCATGAAATGGCACAAGGCTGTGTTTCCTTTATCAGCAAAAAGCCGTTTCCTTCAAGCCGACTCGTTGTCTTAGGCTCGTATTGTGACAGACGACAGGACCAAACAGCCTTCTTTTTGTGTCGACAGGCCAGCACACAGCCACGAAGTCCCTATTTACATGTGACACGAGTTTTCTTGTTCCAATATTTTGTCAAATCACGACGGACGCGCGGCGTCGACGAGGGCCGGCCGTTTGCGCCGCGCCCACATAAAGGCGCCGGTTACGCAGCGTTTTCATGCCCTGCTCGGCGCGGCGTCGTGGGAGCGTGCGGTGGCGCCGTCTCGCGCAGCCACTCGCTTTTTTGTATTTAAATCCCGTGCGCCACGCACCGGCAGCCCCTCGAGTGGCATCTTTCCGGCCGCGAAATTTAAACCACGCCGCCGGTGGTTAACCCTTGGGTTCCCAGGGCGGTCCGGAAGCGGACGGAGCGAGCCAGGGGTCGGGTGCCAGCGCAGACCGCCGCCCGGGCCCGGCCAGACCGGCCCCGGGCCTGCACCATCCAGGGCCCCGTGCCATGTCGCCGTCAGTAAAAACTGCACTGCCGACGTGACCGATCTGGCAAGAGGGCCGAGCACCGCGCGCTTAGCAGATGTTCGTTGCGCCATCGACATGTCCCATTCTATACAATATTGGCATAGTAAGCCAGTAAGCAATGATTTTGCCTGCTCTCATTGAACAGCACGTTCTATTTTATGTCGGTTAGGTGGGTACCTGCGAATGAGCCGATTTTTATAAAACAGAAAACTTAATAGAAGGTCAAAAAAGACACCACACCCAGCTATGATTTGCTGAGCACTGACGTGACTATGATCTCCGTGTGCGTCATTTCGAAGGAGCGTATGGTGCATAAATTTTCATTAAAATCAAAATATCAAATGTCAAAAATGACAACATGCCTAGGTCCGTGTATAGACAAAACGTGGCAGGTTGTCAATATGTCAATATGTAATAGAAAAGCAATGTCAGGCTTCTTGTCATTTTTGAGGAGGTGTTTATATATATGTATGAATATATATATAAATGCAATATCAGCACGTTACATGCCGCAAGCTAATCTGACCTATCGGACTGGTCGGTTTTCTGCACATGTTGTAAATGTGTGCTAAGTGGGAGGCCAAGATTAGGTCATGTCTACTTGTCTTCATGATGTGTCATTGTATTTTTTTACGAAATCTTCTGACTCATGACAGTCCGCCAGAAATCCCTTGTTGCATGTATGCTTGTTGATCTGATTTTATCATACCTCGCTGCTCACAGATCTCTCGGTTTTTTTCGGGTTCAGTTCTTACACCGTTTAAGATGGTGTCGTA